CGGAACCGCCCACAGAAGCGGAGATCTGAAGTGAACTCCAAGCCCTGAAATGCCTCAAGGTAGCTGGATCAGACAGCCTGTCACCTGTCTTGTTTAAAGATACCGGAGAAGCTCTCACGAGAGTGCTTGTGAGACTGTACTCGAAGATTTCCCCACACAGGGGGAGAATCGATTGTTACAATCACCTACAAGAAGGGCTGTCGCAGCGCCTGTTCCAACCACAGTAGCACAAGTCTGATTCCAAATAGCGCCGAAGCTACTAGCGTCCGTTTTGTGAAAGGTGAATCCGAGAGAAGCAAACCGGGTTCCGTGCACGCCGTGGTTCCATAGATCAGATATTTGCCCATCGTCAGCGACTAAAACATCGCCACACATATACACGACAAACCATCATAGTGTTTTTGGATATCAGAGCGGTCTTCGACTCCACCGATCGCCTCGCTCTGTGGAACTGTTTGCTGATGTACGGAGTACTCGAGAAGTATGCTCTACTTCTAAAAGCACTCTACCACCAGACCTCGTGGAAGGTTAGGGCCTATGGTGAACTTTCACCCTCATTTCCTGTCACCAGTGAGGTACGACAGGATTGCCCTATCTCTGCGCTTCTCTTCGACTTCGAGCCCCACCACCCAGCTTTGGTGATAGGCAGCCTCGCTATCGTCCAGTTCAATACCGCACCTTCCCTAACAGGGCTTTATGTGCTTCCGCACTCCAAGTCCCGTGGCTTATGTTGCTTGTTTCCACCGCTGAACAGCGGGTCTTCGTCACAGTGGAATCCACCTGTTTGTTGTTCACCACACAAATGTATAACAAAAAAACTGGTTTTGCTATGAAATAAACCTGCATACAAAACCGCATTTATTGAGCCACTGTTCGACCCGTCCTAACATACGCTTGCGAAAATTGACCATCAAATGCGTATCAAGTATGGTTTGTGTTAGGTAATCCTATCTGTTTTGGATGCCACATGTTTGGCATCCATAGGTGTCACCTTATTAGGAGTACCACAAAGTGGGTCCGCCAGCGGTTGCAGTCGTTCAGTAGCCTGGGTGAATCTTCGACAGAAATTTTCTTTTATGGAAATGCCTCCAGGTGTTTGAAGGAGGACGCCGATTGGTATTCACGAATAACACGAACTTCACTTTCTAGCAGTTGAATAGCCCTATCTTTGGTCCAGGAGAGTAAGTTCCGGTTGATCATGTTGAGCTTAAAACCTATTCAACGGTTGGATAAGCATTGGAATAATTGAGTCAGTGCTCGTCTAAAGTAAACAACGCAATTACAAACTGACGTAACTGTGAGCAAAACATATTACTGTCGATGAACCTTCAAAATGCTTGTGCAGCATTTCGCAAACTTAACATGTCGAAACCCAAATAACCAAAAAGAGTCTTGATATCAATCTTTTCAACATATTAAGTGACGTATTCTATTTGGTGTTATGTTCGCACCTGATTCATCTCAGAACAGTCGTATTATGAAATAACGCCGTGATGTATTTGGAGGAATTATCGAAATGATTTACTGAATCAAGTACTCGATAGCCGTCACAGCTTTTTCCTACCTGAGAACTATGTGAAGAACAAACAATACTACTTGAAAGTAGTGTCAAACATGCTTAGTAAATGAAAATATCCCATACCAGTCAACGAGGACCGTAGTAACTGTAGCATGTCAAACGGTCAACCACTGGACTTATGTCAAGCTGAAACATTTGGATCCCGTAATGAATTTAAACAGTTAAATCAGAAGACACGCTGCGAGAGGAATTCCTTCCGTTTACTCTCATAGGTCGCATCCGTATAACATTGAACAAAATGGATACATGAAGCGAATTAAGAAATCCTGTTTGTGTCTGTGCGATGCACATGATTGGTTACAACTAGGGAAGATCAAGGGTAATGGTCAATAGGTTTAGTCAAATTAAGGAAGCGTTCCATTTGTGTTCGGCACGAGTTGAGTGGATCAGATATAGCCCCTGTGGTTTGGTATGTGTGAGCTTTGAGGTGATTCATTTTGATGTTTAACGAATCGTCGGTGAACCACAACCTACACCAGACGTCTGTAACTTACAAAACTGCTGAAAATCAAGACTGAATACGCCTGAAGAATCATTTACTAAATAGGTGTGTATAGACGCCGTCGTTGAGCTCCCAGTCCAATCGCTGTTAGGCTTCCCGGGGACAAGGTTGATTGATGCGTAGACTGGGTGATAATCGAGTGCTGTAAGTCGTTTTTTAATACATGATTGTGTGCTGGACAGCAGAAAATATTAATTCCATAGTCACGAGGACCTACTGTTCACGAATGGGAACCGGCAACCTAAGTATCTCGACTTGGAGTGGCAAACCTACTAGCATGGTGGTACTAGTCCATCTATCCTTTGGTATTCATCTCCTTTTATTGCATTTTATGCCTTCTTGGCAGCATTCGGCTTTTTACACAATTCAAGTCATTTCTGCATTGATCTACGAAATAGCCTTACATCAGCGCTCAAATAGATATAGCCATGCCTGAGGACTGCCATCACCAATAACCCGGGGGTACCATTTATCAGTTTCCAAATGCAAGTTTCTTTCCCAAGAGCCATAATAATTAGTAGCATCTTTCATACCCTTGTTTTTAGTTCGGCTCTCTCCGTACAATGCTTACTGAGTATGCATCGATACGATCTCGCCGGGAAGACTGTCCGACGGATGCAAGTTGCAGATGAAGATGCTTTACCGTGTCAGCTGGCCACAGCTATGTTTTATCTGACCAAGGTAAGGAATACAAACAAATTGGAGATTACAATTTTGCTCCAAAAACCAAAGCTCATTCTAATTTGTCATCCGATTGGAGTGTACGAAATCTAGTTCATAATAAAATCCTTTTGCGCTGAATTTCGTCGCTTAGAAACCAAACTAAATGTGACCTGTAAAACCGGGAGGCACTGTTCAGTTGTTTCGATCTTGGAAGTTCTCATCAACAGCACAATCCATCGACCCAGCTAAGAATCGACTCCGGGGTAACTCATTTAGAATACAATCATACTACCCATTTGGTCATTATTTATTTGAATGTCTTCCGCATTAGCGGTTCAACTTATGAAAGACATTGTGTTGAAACACTTTTAGTTGAGTAAGGGTCGATAAGGAACTGAGTAGTTTATCCACTGTTCACTTAGATTGACCCGTTTTCATTACCAGAACGAATCAACAGTAATGTAATTTGAACTTTTTATCATACGTGCATACAGCATATAGGGTTAACCCCATGGAACGTCAAAGAGCACATTTTAGCTGGAACAGGTTTGCTGATTCCGCGGTGATGGTTAAGTGGCTTGGATAATCAGAAACAACTACCTGAGTTCGAATCTCTCAACTTATGTACTTCCTCAGACAGCTTTTTTTGTTCACAATCTTTCTTCTTGTATACTGACTAAATAAAAGGAAAGTGAAATGTTATTCCTTTTATTATGTTTAAAGGTGAAAATGATATAAGTTGAATGGAGGTGTTCCAATGATTTTCAGTCCTCGGGTGTAAAGATGTATGGAAACTACAAGTGCAACACCTGAGAATACTCAATTTAACTAGGTGAGTGGTCGCTTGTGTGTGGGATTTGTGAAGAAGAACATGTAGGACGAGGGAGGTATAACAACATGAGAATCGAAAGCGATAACTCAATAGTGGACTAGGGACTGTCTTTCCTTCATTCACTTAGGTTTCGTTTGAATATTCATTCTAATTTTGCAAAAGCTTAGCACTAATTTTTTTCATTTTTACTTCCTTTGATCGAATACATAACTACAATTTTCAAGAAGGGGGAAGGGGCCAATCAAAGGGCTGCCATACAACACTGGGGGAAGTCAGATTGTGGTTTCAGGATTCGAGTGATATTTGGTGACGTCAGCATCGGGTCACTATCGCCCGTTCGTATTATTGTGTTTCTCTATACATTGATGGTGGTAATTAGTATATTGAGTTAATTACAATTCTTAAAGTAAAAAAGACTCAAAATTTAAAAAAATTGTGCAGTAAAAAAGCAAAATATTTACTATCATTGTCCACAAACTGATCGTTTTTATGTTGTTTTTCTTCTGATTATGTGTTTTTCCTCAACCCATGTTTATTTTAGTGTTGCGTCTGTAAATATTGATGATTTATAAACACAATATCATTATTAATATTATTTGATTGGTTGGTAACCAGCATCCAATTTTATTTTCGTTGATTACCAAGGGTGGGGAGCAGCTGCAAGAAGCTTTGCATATATACGAGGAACTTCGCGAAAAGCATGGGGCGACTCCAGTTATTCTCAATGGACAAGCCACCGCTCTAATCGGCATGAATCGATGGGAAGAAGCAGAAACTGTTCTACACGAAGCGTTGGACTTGGTATGTAACAGCATCAGAGTCTCGGTCCTTCATACAGTGCATTATGCTATAAACATTTTTTTACCTTGATTTGTTTGACTTATGATCTAGACTCAAATAAGTTTAAAGTAGAGTAATGATAGTAATCCTTTAGTGTTAGTTAGCTCTAGACAATCGAAAATCCATAACAAACGGGCGACCGAAAAATGCTACATTATATACGTATATTCTCTCTTGAAATATATTTATATGTTTCACACATGTCTGCGGCCAGATTGTGTGCCAAACAAATCACGGTATAATCATCTTTATAAAAAAAGAAAAACGTTCCATGATTTGCATGGTCGAATACCGCAAGATGCCCAGGCCAAAACAGGTGAATTTTCTTGAGGAGTCCACAACCGGAGCCTTCGGCTAGCCAAAGCCTGACCCGCAAGGCGTTATGAGTAAACCGCAATCCATTGGGGGGGGGGGGGTGTCGAGTTCATTGAATCATACGCCGTTGGACGGCGTCAACCGTCCAAGGTGCCCAGTGCACCTCGCTGCCCAATTCAGCCGGTGACCATTGCCACAACCAGGAAGGTGGTTCGTACGACTCCTGTTGTTTGGTTTGGAATCAGGGTTTTTGGCCAACTCTCCTAAGTGAACTGCCAGTAGCCCACCAGCTCAGTTATAGCTCCGGATGTTGGCTTTTCGTCCCCTGGATTTGGTGGGAAAACAACTCCGCCAAGAGGAGGCAGTGAGTAGGGCTTCCTCAGCAGGTGTTTGCGACTCTTGGTCGTATGGGTGCATTTCGCGAGGTGCAAGGGAGGGGTGACCAGCCCGAATCCGAGGCATACCCCGCCGACCATACTGAGGTCTTCTAAGACGCATTTTATAAGATCTACGTTTTGAAGAACGGATGCAATTATTAGCATAGAAAAAAGCTTGAATTGGAGGAATTAAATGTTCATTTCAGTTGTCACAATCATTAACCATACACTTTCGGGTGGCAGTTATGGTTGCCGTCTCAAGACTGCCCATTGGGGATAAATGAACAGAAGGAATATTAGAGTGTCGCAAGCAGAGTCTAAGAAAGGATAGGGTTACAAGGATAATGAGTAGATGCACGAGCGCCCCTGTTTGCGACGCTCATCCATATCACTCAGTGTCGCTGATCCCGAGGTCGCTATGCAGGAAGTTAACACCATCTAGGTCAGCAAGTTTCCTGGTTAGGGTTTTCATACCCTTGCCATTTCTCACTAACTTTGTATGCTGTGTGAGTTTGGCAGGATCAGTAAAATTCGCTTCATTGTATTTGGCTGCACGATGATGATGAGCATTCAAAAAATAAATAAACCAGATAAAATGAAATGGTGTATATCCCGTAAAATGTAATCGAAAACTAACTGTTTATTAAACTGTGATTGTTTCCAACAACAACGCGTCACCAATGTCGATGAAACCATTTGGTGTTATATTAAGTCATGAACATCAATACACCAGGGAAAGACTACTGATGAATGCGAAGTAGATCAGCATCGGGAATAGTCAAAGTGCTGCACCCATTGAGAGTATTTCCAAATTATGTCCGTATCGTACCTGTCTCGACCCAACTCTCCCATAGAACAACCAAACAGTTATTTTGAGAATTTTTTTTTCGACACCAGCTGAAACTGGCCGCTACATCCGCTATGCCCCAACACTTCAAAATGGGCCCCATTCCTGTTCACCTCGCATATTCTCACTAAAGTCGTATACATTACGAGTTTGCCAGCCATCCATGAAGTTTACTTCACCGTGTTTTGCCGTACGATGGTGATTCCCCATATCCGTCGTGAATTGACACCGAAACAGTGGTTATCAGTCACCACCTCGGTGACTACTCATTTTCCTCACATGATGGTGACATCATCAGTGCTTGTCACCTTGGCTGGTGATGAAACGTTAGCAAACAAATTCCCCAAGCTCGGCGAACAGGCGAAACAGAATTCAGTTCACCCGCGCTAGGAGAACCGATTTTCAATACTTTGTCAACACCCCCTAGATTTTTGGATTATTCCCGATCATCACGATTTTTGAAAATCTAGACAGTAACCGAATGTAAAGCAGAAATACAATTTTCAACAAATCATCTTTAATTTGAACGAAAATACGTCAAAAAATCCGAGAGTATGAGGTTCTTCTCACAAATAGTAAAATTATTCGCGCTTTATTGAACATTTGCCCATAGCTAAAGCATCTTGATTGCTTCAAAGGCTCCTCGGAATGAGTACATTTTATAGTGAAGTATACCAGTTTGTCAAATACGTTCCAAAATACTACACTTTCATCACTCCGAAGTTTTACTGCAGCCTGCACATCCCATTCGTAGTCGTAATACCGACCGAGAACGTATATTCAAGGACTAACGCACTACGTGGGGCACAAATAAAAGGTGTCAGCACAGCGCGCCTGCAGCATCTGTGCCCGTAAAAGTTACAGAGTCACCAACATGTACACGCAAAGTTTGATGTAGTCAACGGTTATCACACGTCCCTCAAACCAATGGGGAGCTATGCCATTCATGTACGTCCCGTACGCTTCTGTATGTGAATGGGTTTTACGGAAGATCCAATGCATTGATAAACACAACATATGTCTTAATTTCATGAAAGTCAGTTTTTCTATCTGAATCTTTCTATCCTTTTCAGCCGGAGTCTTTGTAAAGTTAGAAGGGTCATTCAATATTACCCTCATCTTATCTATATAATCAGACCTATTCATGATCATAATATCTGCACCTTTGTCTGGTCTTGATAACATCAGTTCTCTATTGATTTGCGACTCTTTGAGACGCTTCATTGATCGTTCACGATCGCGATATTGGTAANTGGATTTGAGTTTCTCTAACTCATACGAAGAGGATGACACCAGTCCCGATGGCTGGTCGAATAAGCTCTCAAATTCAACCTCCAAACCTAACTGTTTAGTCTTATTGGTTGAACAGCAAAATTTCAGCCCCAGAGATAGCACTTCAAACTAAGTCTTATCCAAATTCACAGACGACAAATTATGAACAAATCTCTTTGGATCCGAAGGGAACTCACCAATCAGTTTCTTAGGATTGACAAGTTTTCGTAATGTTGTACGTACCTGCTCGACTTGCTTGTCAGCAATCAATTGAACGAAAGCAACAAATTCCTCTTTCTCCTCTATGGTCAGCTCATNTTTGAGTACACGGCTTGATACGGTATCTCGTTCATTAAGCGCTTAGCGACGTAGAGGCATGTTAGTGATGTTAATCCGATCTCTTCTTAACATAGTTTGATGTTATTTAGGATATTCTGAGTTAGATAAACCATCAACGAAGGGATTGCTCTCTCACGACTCCCCATCTGGATTAAGAAGTAAGGAGAAGATTGAAATTTTTCAATCAGTGTTAGTCTCCTTAGTACGACGGGCTAACCATTCATTTAACAAAGCTGCTGAAGTCACCGGGCCGCGTTCTACGTTCTAACACTTTCGGATTCTATAACAGTCGCTGGTGTAGACGTGACGTTTCATGGAACTTGAAGGATCATATATCAGTAACTTCTTGTGTATTGTTTTTTTGGTATTTGTGCGAGAGATGTTTATTTGTCATTGGGTGGTAGAATAATCACTGGCCTCGGCGGGGTTCGGACCCACTCATGCAGACCGTCTACTCTTTTGTAGTGTTTGAATTTAATCGAGGTTATTGATCCTTTCACAACTCAAAGACTAATAAATAATAGTACGTCACACTCGCTGTTTGGCTATAATACTCATGGAAAGAAGAATGATTCTCTCAGTGTTTTCTTCGGAATGTTTTCACAACTGTTTCATTCATTTTAAATTGACAGAATTGTGTCGATTAAGCTAAAATAATCCCGGCGAATTCAGAGTGATAGAGCCACGTTTTGCAGCTGCTAGTTTTACCTTATTTATCACGTACTCCCTATATAGCGTTTGTGAACAAAACCTTCAGCTATATGACTAAAGGTGTTGAGCCCATCTGAACCTCATGGGTCTGAGGACAGTATCGGCCTGGGTGACATTAAAGTCACCCAAGTTTTAACAACTGCTTTATATATTTTTATAGTCGTACAGTTTTTCTCTGAATATAGGTGAACGTCCCACCATAGAAATCTCACTCATTCACTACTCACTTTCTCCCCATTCATCTCTCTACCACCCTGCTTTCCCAGGATGGAAACAACGCTGATGTGATTGTAAACCTGATTATGGTGACATATCATTTGAACAAACCACCAGAGGTAAAAAGCCATTTAATTATTTGCTCAGTTCCGTTCTTTAGTTTGTTGAAATGGAACGTATTATCTATTCCCCATTGCTTAAGTAGCGGGTCAGATAATTTGTACCATCACTGCATAACCGGACGAAATGTTACCAGTTATCCAAACCGTAATATCTGTCGAAGAGTCAAATACCCGGTAACCTTCTCAACTCTCCGTTTCAGTTTGTTACAACAGTGAAGCGCTTTAGTGGCGATTTAGGATGTGTATACTCCGATTGTAAAGTTATACATTGATTGGTAACAGGAAAGAGATGTATGTGCTGTGCATGATACTGTTTCATTTTGTAGAACATCTCCAGATCTGAATCGACTGTCTTATGTAATTCGAAAAGGCAAAATGTCCAACATTAATTAGTTAACTGATTGATTTTATTGGTTCACTCTTCCCTGCACTTTTGCCAGATCATAGACTGGTCCCCTTTACTTTTTATGTTCACATCCTACCTCGGTGGATATTGATGGAGTGTATGAATAGCATATCATAGCATACCAATATTATCATTGTTTTTGGGTGGGCACCATGCTTGTTCTCATGTGCTTAATACCACTGCTTCTGATTTCGTTTTACCGTCAAACCTGTGATTTACTTGGATTTCCTCGAAACGGGTGAGAATATTTGTTTTTATTCCCGAAGGTGTATGCAGTTTTCACTGGTAACTCTCCAATGAAAGACGCTGTATAGCTGCTGCATCTTTCCTTGAAATTATCCATATCACTCATGCACTGTACCTGTTGAGAATCGAATCGATCTGAATTCGGTACAATGACCAATTGGGTGATCTGTGCCCTTGTTCCCGCACAAACACTAGAAAACAGCACTTATCCGTCACTGTCGTCAAATGGGCCAAATTTCACTCAACAGTGTTCGACTCCCGGGTGCATGACTTGTCTACAGGGTCTATTCCACGACAACCAATGAACAACTTTATCCATTGAGTACAGACTTATTCAAATGGATCGGGAGATTTGTTTTGAATCGCTCCTCCAGAAGTGACCGACTTGTTTTCTCATTCATTCTAACGATTTTACACTTCAGTTTAAACGGCGCATGCCATATCATAGTGTAGGATTTTGGGCCTGACACCAAAGTTCCTATAACCTATTGTTTGGTTTCACAAAGTACTTATTTTGACAGTTTTTGGCTGTTATAAAATATCAGCCACCAATCTGTTTTATGCATGAGATTTATTTGAATTCCGAATCTATCTCTATCATCTATGTTCGTTTTTTCTCATCAGACCATCAATCGACTAATCTCACAACTCAGAGATTGCAATCGGGACCATCCATTCCTCATCGATCAAACTACCAAGGTGAGTTCCGTTTGAGTCAGTCAAATCGCGCGTCTCGTCTGTGCTTCGTCACATTACAGTTTCCATTCCTTTACTCCAAAACTCATTTTCTTGTCTACCCCGTTCAACCTTCTTTACAGGTGGAAGAATTCACCCGTTGCGCGCAACAGTATGCTCCAAGCGTGCCCAATTAATTACCCTTTATTCTTCACGGGGATCTAATATTGTGATAAATTTCGGTTCTTTTTTCTCACCCTCCAATATACTTGTTCCAATCCACACTGTCATATTTCTGATTCCCTCCAATCTACTACCTCACATGGTGTTATCTAGGACATCCGTGGTGTGGAATCGTCGTCATAGAAATAAGATGGCATAACCAACTGTATGCTGACGGGGTTTTCAATGGATCCTGATCATTAGGTTGTATCATCTGGAGATATATGTGCCTGTTTACTCCTTGTATCACCCGACAATAGACCCTTCACTGTATATTGACTCAACTCGTCCAGTGCATGAATTTTTAGAAACTCGTACCACGGGAACTTGGCATTCAATAACCGATCCACCTACGAACAAAACTGTTTTCGATAATTGTCCAGTTAAGGCGTTTCTAAGCTTCTGCCATCACTCTCGTCCCAAATAGTCTCGACAGAACCATTCTACCAAAGTCTTGTGATTCGTCACCGTCCGTCTCGATCGCCCGACTCAGGGAGTAGGTAGGACCTTGTGATTCTGGGTTTTAGCCCCTCTCATCTGTGTAATAAAAAATGACCATCTACATGAGCTCAATTGTTCAGGTCATTCAAAAAAGTCCGTACGAGCTGCTGCGGTACGCAACTATGGACGAGCAAACTTGTGTGGACTTGTAGAAGAGGGTTGCTGCATATGCAAAACGGGGCCTTTCTACTCTCCCTAGACAGGGTTTTCATACTTTTATGTCCACTTCCTCTACTGCTTCCCCACTTAGAATGCATTTGGGAACTGGATCAAACCAGTCCTGTGGCGACATTTTACACTTTGAAGTTACAAAAAGCAAGGATGCGCCAGCACATAAATCATCCACAAAAGCTTGCAACTTACTTGGGTCTTCATTTCGTAATAGTACTATTCCATCTGCATACTCTAGAGTAGAGTCTGCCACCTGGGAGCAAATCTATGCCGCTATCTTCGCACGAGGGCAGAGCTGCTCCAAGATTGATTCCACGAGTAGCAACGGAGTCGACGGAAATCATCAACTAACTTCCTGAGTTCACCAAGTCTACCGTCCTCTTTGGTTAGTGAAACAAAGAAACAAACCCAAAATGGTCAAGTTTCATCGTCTAGCAGTAACCCAAATATTTCCGACTCACTTCCATAACCCTTTAGGCGTCTAGAAACAGCTCACATGTCAACCGCTTGCAACTTGACAAACCCATTCATCAACTGTTTCCCATGTACACATCATACGGCTAGTGTTATGCGCGATAAGGCCCTTTAACCGATAGAATAATCATTTAGTTTAACTGTAAAATCAAAAATCACCTGGTGGAATTTCAAGGGTGTTGGTCACTTATGTTGATAATGCTCGGGTGTACCAACAATCAGTGGTTGCCCGCTAAGTGGTGTTATAATTATCAAAAGCAAATTGAAATTGGTAATTGGCAAATGCACTCAGTAATGTTTCTATGGTATCCAGCTTTCGAAAGAGCTTGCTTCCAAAACCGGTTTCAATGAGGGCTTTTCATTCAACAACACTTCGAATAGCTACGGTTCCGATCCCGAGTGAAATGCAAAGACATCACGGAACAAAGGAGGATAATCAGGAAGTCGTTTCCTTTCCGTGAAACAATATTTGCCCTTTATCTATTTCATCAGCACAAGAAGATATGCGGGCAGAGCAGAAATCATCTGATAGGTCAAGTCAATATTATTGAATTGGGCCCACCAATCCGAATCAGTTAAACAGCGCATTGGGAACTATTCATTTGGTTAATCCACGACATAAATGACGAAGTTCAAACTGTCGGAAAATTGAACAAATATCTGAAAATTTCTTTCACAACGTTTTTTAATTTGACGAATAAAAACTAACGTGCGGAAAGTATATAGGCATTCATGCGTTTTGTTTACCATCTGTAAATCTTTTTTTATAGGATCAAAAGCATTGTCGAGAGCTGTAAGCACTGAATTATGTTTTACCTCAATCAAAGTGGGACAATTTTTTGGTCGATTTCGTGTAGGACATTCTACCAGTCAGATATTGGCTAACCTATCGTGTATTTCCCTCAAAACGCATGGATCTGTTAACAGTTTACAGTCGCGGCTCACAAGTAGTCCTGACATTGTTTCCACAGTAGGTGACTAACTGGAAGGTAAAATTTGGAGAAAAATCTCATTTGCATTCATCTGGACGAGGTCTGCAAATAAAATGGACCAAGCGTTTCCATCTTTTGGAATTGAAGACCAGTCAATCTATGCTGATTGCCTCCTGGGCAGTACAGTGCCAAATTGTGATGCGTGGGACAGTTTCGGATCGTTTCGCTGAAATAGGTATGATAAATTAATGAACAGATGTGAAAGCAGATTTATTACAAAACTGTTCATCTTTTTTGCAATAGATTGCGGTCAGCTGATAATGGAAATTGGAATTGTTGTTTCACTGAATGAATTCACCAGGGTACGTTGTTCACGCTATTGCAGGTTTACAAGATCTCAGTACTGTCCTATCTTCACCATACAGAAGCTGCTTATATATCCACTTCCAATAAGTAGTTTCTGGAGTGAAACAAGACAAACATCATTTTGTGAATAATTCCCGGTTTTTTAATTGC